TTAATGCTCGTTACCCCCATTTCCCACAAATTCCTCGCACTAATGCAAATTTCCGGCGCCTCCGCCCTCCTCCGATGCTCTAATTGACCTGCGTAATTCCATCATGGCTAGGTGTGGCACAATGGCGGGAAGGCGGTCCGTTTGAAAGTTGGAGGCCGTCCACTTTTTTAGGCGAGCCTTTTCTTTCTGTCTCGCTCTCGCCTCCCACCCACTAGTTTTTCTCAATACACCTAATTCCGATGGGCTGCCCTGCTGGGTTTGGGCTATTAGCGTCCAAAAAAGCTTCGAAAATGGTTTGGAAAGCGCCGATCCCGAGGATTGCGGTGGATTTTTCTTGATCCCTCTCTCTCGCTCGCTCTCTCTGTTTCTCACGCTCTCTCCCTGTTTCTATCCTCTCTCTCTCTCTCCCGCCTCTCGATCTGATTGATTACGTTTTTCTCGCGCTCATTCATCTCACGCTCTGTCTGACTCTCTTGCTCTCTTCCGCTCTCCATCTCTCGCCTGATCTCGCTTTCTAGCACTTTCTATTTCTCTTGTCTTCAGTAGTAAAATATGCTAATGTTGTCCTAAAAAGACTAACGAATTTTTTGTGGCCAAATCCATCGCTTTTTAGCCTTCCTATTCCCTTTAAAGCGCGAGAATTTCTCAAACTTTGCTATTTACATCCCCCCAAGGCCCATTTGCATCTACACCATTCACTAATCCCAAAATTGAGTGCATGGAATCGGAATGACCCTTCCTTCCTCCTCGGATGGATCTCCCCACATACCATCCATTGTATTCTGCACACCGCCCACGGCACTACCGATCGGATCGCTCTTTTTCCGTATCTCTCTCTCTTTCTCTCCCTCTCGCTCTCTCTCTAGCCTGCAGGACGACCCCACCCACATTTGCCTGCGCGTTCGTGCGCTCGTTTTGGCAAAACCATCGATGCGCGTGCATCTGCCAACTGGAAATCTTGGGCTTAGGCGTATCGGCTTAGAATTAGGTTTAGGTGTAAGCTTAGGCTTGGGCTCAGGCCTAGGCTTAGGTTTCAGCTTAAGTTAGGTTTAGCTTAGTCTTTGGCTTGGGCTTGGCTTACTTGCTAATTTTAGGATCGTGATAATTGTTACAAGATGTCTCTCCCTCTCTCACTCTTTCTCTCTCCCTCTCTCTCCTTCTCTCTCTCTCTCTCGCTCGATCTTACTCTATTTTTGTCGTGCTCCCCGTTTTGAGCCCATTTATCCTGGTTTTTATGTTCTTTTTCTTTTTCATCCCGTCTCATCTTCTCCTCCCCACTTTTCCATGAGGGTAGAGGCCGTCGGGCAATGGCCGTTCCTTCTCTACTTCTTTCTCGTCAGTTCTTCCTCCCTCTCCTCCACAGCCATTTGATGGATCCCTGAGAATTCTTCTGCCGTGTGTGTGTCCGCTCTTGTCGCCGGACCTTTTGGGCTAGAAAAACACGGCATAACTTTTACGGCTTGATTTTAAATTTCTAAAATTTCTAATAGCTTCCTTAGAAACTCAGCATTAAACATTTGATATTAAACTGAAGCAAAAAATCCGAAAGCCAAAATGCGGACCAATTTTTGTTTTAAAACTGTCGGCATTTTGGGAAATAGCGGCATTTTTTGAACTGTCGGTATTTCCCGATTAGCGCAATCCATGTTTTGGGATCTAGCTGTCGGTATTTTCTCATACAACCATCCTTAAATTGTCGGTATTTTTGGTATGCTAATTTTTCGATCTCGGCTTTTTCGACTGTTTTTAATTGCTGACCGAACCGATTTGATTTTGGCTTCAGGTTATTTTGCAGTATCGGTATTATTTCCCTAGGCGTGGCCCGATTAGGAGCGGTGTTGTCGGTATTTTTCTCCACATTTTTGCATTGGGCCGATCGCCATTTTAGGTTGTTGGCGATTTTGCGAAACGTCGAAATTGTGTTAACCGGGATTTTTAACTTTGCATGTTACTTATAGGGGTCAGAATTCTTGTTGTCGGCATTCTCGTTGTCGGCATTTTTCCTTTCTCGACAGACTAGCAAATTCTTGGATTTTTCCTGCTTTTTTTTTTGCTTTTTTCCGTTCGGCTCCTCCTTCCGCAAATCCCGGTTGCTTCTGTATAGTCGTTGATTCCAAGTTTTCGGCATTTTTTTGGGGGGACTTTTTAGCTTTTTTTTTCTGGGGGAAACCGACTCACCAGATCAAGCGGCCCTAACGAGAGTAGGCCAGAAAAAACCGAAAGGGCCAATAAGGGGCCCAAAGAGGGACCGCAGACGAGCTCAAAAAGCTTCAGCTCCACTGGCTACAGCCCCCTAATCAGTGTGGCCCCACCCCGGGCCATAGACTTGTTGTGGACTGGAGCCTAAGGCTGTCGGGCCCAAGGCTGGGTGGGCCCTAAGGCCGGGGCCATAGTTAGGGCCCATTTTCACGACCCAGCCAAGGATGGGGAGAGGGGACATGTCCCCGGGGCATTCCACCACGCTCCTCCTCCTCCAGCACATCCGGAGACCCATCCCCGGCAGCGCCAACAGGCCGTCTGAAAACTTTTGAGTTGAATCTGTGGGTTTAAAGGGATGGTGAAGGCCAAAATTCCTATGGTTTCCCAGGTTTTAGGACCCAAATCTTTCATTTCTGCTTTTTCACTTATTGTTCACCGTATCAAGACCGAATTCGCATTTTTTAAATTATTTATTGCGAATTAAAATATTTTTCTTTATTTAAGCGTCTTGTAAAGGCTGCATTTTTATAGATTTCCGGTTTACAACGCCCGAAATCATCATTTCTTTCATTGTATCGTAGTTACCGCAGCATTTGCATATATTGAGGTTTTTGGACGATCCTGAAACAAAATCCGGCTTTTTAACAGACCTTGGAAGGCTTATTTTATATGGATTTCTGACGTTTGATGCTCGAAATTTATGAATTTTGTCATTTTTCGATTTTCCGAGACCTAATTTGCATATTCTACGTTGTTGAAGTTCTAAGCTAAGCTAGTCTAAACATTTTTCAATTGATTACGTCATGTTAATCTCCTCATAGTCTCGCGATGCTAAAAACCTACGAATTTCCGATTCGATACTAATGTCAGAGCCCTGAATTTATATTTTTCAAGCAGGGATTCATCACGCCATGTAAATACCCATTCGCCTCCATGTTCCCAAATAATCAATGCTAAAAACTGGGGGAGGTGGGCGTTATCTTCTTCCGGCCCCTCGACCAGCCAGCCACCGGCGACCGGTGCGAATGATTCATAGTGTTTTCTTCGGGTTTTTATGTTTTCCGCTCTTGTTCTCTCTCTCTCTCTCTCTCTCTCTCTCTCTTTCTCTCTCTCTTGCTTCAAACGATTTTATTACTTCCTTTTCCGATTTTCCGATCCCGACCCATCATGGTCCAGGCGCTTTTTGTGACTCAGTAAAGTCTTTCTTCTTCGGCTTATCCCAACCGGTCCGTCAGCTGGAGCTTTGAGACTCAATTCCGGCCGCCCGATTCTAGCAGATCGCCGGCCGAATCGGGGCTGAATTTAGGGCCAATCGAAGCCTTTTACAGCCCTCCTCTCCCCCCTTGCCCAGCATTGCACCGGCAAACAGGCGCAGCAGATGCCTTCCTGCTTGTCTTTTTTTGTAGCGTTGTTTTTTTACCACATAAATAGGGATATTTTCGATTTGTATATCTTCGAATTCTCTCTCACTCTCTCGCTCACCCAGGTGGGCTGCCTCTCTCTCACTCTCTCTCTCACTCTCTCTCTGTCTCCCTCTTTCGCTCTCTGTTTCTCTCTTTCTCACGCTCTCTCTCTCGCTCCTTGCTCGCTCGTTCTCTCTCTCGCTCTCTCTCTCTCACTCACGGTGTCTCCCTGCGTGATCTACCACTATCTCGATGTCTCTCTCGATGTCTCTCTCGATGTCTCTCTCGACTTTCGTCTGACCTTAATGCTCCATTCACTCGTCCTCCTCATTTATGACAATATGCTAATCCCACCATTTTCAGAAGCCCCTCCCCCTCGACTAAAGGGACAGGCAAGTGGCCGATCCCTTCCTATTCACAGCTTCTCTCATCTCCCCTCGATCCCTCGAAAATTCTCTTCAAAACGAATTCTGGGAGGCGATGATAGTTGGGAAATGTCCATTTCTTCGCCCAAAACGATGAACACTACCAGATGGCGGATACGACCGCCCCGATTAATTATCGCGACGATATTCTGTCTATTTTCTATACTCCAACTGGGTGGCGCTCAACAGCAATGGCATACCTTCGACAATCCACACTCGGCTGATGGGCAATTTTTCCAGAAAATGGTGGGTCTTGAGCATTTTTTAGAGGGAAAGAGAGACAGAGAGAAAGAGAGAGAGGGAGAGAGAGAGCGACAGAGAGAGAAGAAGAAAATGTATAATCGACATTTTCCAGGTAATCGACCCGGCCACCTCTCGATTATACGTCGGCGGCGTCAACCATTTATACGATCTGACCTCCGAGACGTTATCTGTAAGGATACACGCGCAAACCGGGCCGGAAGATGATGCTGAGGAGTGTCGTGGAGGTCAGATTTTTTCGAAAGTTTACTATTACCCTCTCTATCTCGCTCTCTCTCTCGCTCTCTCTCTCTCTCTGTCGCTCCCTCTCCCTCTCATTCTATCTTGTGTCATGATCCTTTAAACCTCTCGGAATCGATACCTATCTTAGTGGTTTCTCGGGGATCGCCACCTTCCCGGTGCACGGCCCATTTCACTCGAATCGCCTTTAACTTTCCCCCTCCTCGGCTAGCCGGTATTTGCATTTTGCATGCCTATTCGAGGGTGGTCGAGTGAAAATCAGCTAAAAAATTCTCTCGTTCTAGCCAGCTCTCTCTCTCTCTCTCTCTCTCTCTCTCTCTCTCTCTCTCTCTCTCTATCTCCATCCCCTATCTCTCGCTCTCTCGTTTTCTATCGAAAGTTAGACGCTAAAAATCTCCAGTATCCATTATTTTCAGGCAAAAACGATGAGTGCAAAGTCCCGAGACGACCCTACAATTCCTACACGAAAGCGATGGCCGTCTACGACAAATCGAGCAAACTTATCGAGTGCACCTCGTTGTTTCAAGTAAGCCAACCTCTGAATTACCGTTACGGATCATTTCCTTAGGGCCGTTGCCGACTCCGAAATCTGCACAACATCAGCGAAACTCCGGTCGTCTCTGAAACTCCGGTTATTGCCAATGATGAACCGAGCAGTGCTGTGGTGAGTAAATTTATATTTTTTGACTTTAATAGTCCTTTAAAATACCACAAAGTGATGCTAGCGTCCGTGTTCTTTTGAACGCGTAGCGGACGCGCTGTGTTTGCGTGTTTTTCTCGAATGCAAAGGGGTTTCTAGAGGATCGCGAATCTTGTAATAACGGCGATACCGATCCACGGCGTCAATCCTAACGTTGCGTACTCGAGTATCGTCGCGTAGTTCACCGCAGCGCATTCGTAACGGGTTCACTAGGCGCAACTAAAACCCCATTGTAAAAAGAATGCGGCACTTGAAAAAGTTAGAATTAGCTGTTCATTAGCTCCTGTTTTACGGTGTCGATAGCAATGTGGCGTAATCGCTTATCGTAACTTACTTGCCCGCAACTCAAGCCGCACCGCGTTCACGCGACTCTGCTGTAAGGGCTTGTTAAGGAAAAAACGGCGCCTTAAAAACTTCAATTTAACAGCACGATGGCTACATATTCATAGTGAAATAGGCGTGTATGGTAGTCCACCTTAAAAGCCCTTTCCAGGTATTCGTCGGCGGTGGCCCAGTAGAAGATCGTCACGTCCTGTACGTCGCCTCGACCTTTGTCCAAAATGACAAGGCAACAACATACCGTGAAGAAATCCCGGCTATGGCTTCACTGGCCCTTGAAAAACTGGTGACAGACCGGAGAAGAATTAAGGAATTTGACCGGGAAGAGAACCCAGTGGCCGGGGGGACTTTTATCGATATGGACCGGAAGCACAAGAGCACGTACAAGATTCACTACGTTGGAGGGTTCGAATCCGGCGATTACGCCTATTTTGCCACCCGGCAGCTCAGCAAGCTTTATGAGGGCCACATCGAGAGCAAGCTGGTCAGGGTGTGCAAGGGCGATCCGAACTACAACTCGTACACTGAGGTGGGACTTCAACGGAATTACTGTCTTAAACAAGTCGTTTAATTACCCTAAAAATTTCAAAAAATTCACAAAAATGTAATTTTCGAAGCTAAAAATACTCAAAATTACCGTAAATTTCAAAATTTTACCTTACAAAGTCTCATTTTTTAGCCATGGAAAGTATTGTTTTGATACCGTAGTCTTATATTGTATCTTACAAAGCTTAAAAATCTCTTTTCAGGTCTCTCTAACGTGTAAGAACAAGAATATGGACTATAACCTGCTGACCGACGTCTATCTGTCGAAGGCTGGCTACGATTTGGCAAAGGAGCTTGATATTCGGTAGGCATCTCTCTCTTTCTCTCTCTCGCTCTCTGGCTCTCTCTCTATCTCTCGCTTTCTCACTCTCGCCAGCCCTCACTCTTTCATTACGAACCGTAAAACCTAATTTGATTTTTTAGGGAAAACGACGCTGTCCTCTACGGTGTCTTCCAGCTCGGCGATCCCACTTCTAGCAAGAAGGAGGTAAAAATTATCAGATTTCAAATTTTGATTTTAATATTCTCTTACTTGTCTTACATTTGAAGCTAATTTTTAAAACCCTTAATGTTTAATTTTTAAATTTCATTATCATTTTCACATCCGTTTTTTTCAGGTTCCCACCGCCGAATCCGCGCTGTGTATCTACTCCATGCGTGACGTTGAGGAAATGTTCCGAGAAAACATCATGACTTGCTATCAGGGAGCCGGAAACAAGGTAAGTAGCAATTGTAATTACCATAACCCGTACCGTAATCGTAAGTTTTTGCCTTTTCCGAAGGTTCCTGAGCGCGAGTTGTTCCCGTAGACATCTTTACCTTTCCCGGTTTCTCTTTCTTCTTTTCTCAAATTTAGGAATTTCCTGTCGTAATTGCCGATTTTTCGCGTAGCTCAGATTTTTTCAGTTTTAATGCTTTAATAATATTTTCCATTCAGGGCCTCGAATGGCTTAACATCCGCCAAGAATGCGTGTCCACGAAACTGCGATGGGAACAACTGAAGTGTGGCAGTGACGTGAACAAGCTGATCGGAGGAGCCAAGGCGATTGAGTCGAAGCCCGTGCTGGAAATGGGTGGAAGGTGAGAGAGAGAGAGAGAGAGAGAGAGAGAGATAGAGTGAGAGAGCGGGTGTGTGTGGATGAGAGAGAGGATGAGAGAGAGCGAGAAGGAGAGAGAGCGAGATCGAGGGAGAGAGAATTCCTTCCAAATCCCTTTAATGGTAATTATTTCCAGATTCACCGCTGTCGCCGCCAACACGACCCACAGTACGACGATCGTTTTCATCGGAACCGATGATGGGCGGATTTTAAAGGTGCGGTTACACTATTGATGACGCGTTCTCTCTCACTCTCTCTTTCATTCTCTCACTATCTCTCTCTCTCTCTCTCTCTCTTTCTCCCCCTCTCTCGCCCTATCTTTCTAAAGCTTATAATTGGCCGGCCCATGCCCCCCCCGGGCTATCCAAATCCGTATGCAAATAGCCGTGGCGCGGGAACGCCGAGCGGCGAGATTCGTGCCACCCGCAAAATTCCCAGAGCATAAATCGTCCCGATGGGTCGGGTTTTACCGCGGGTAAATGGGTGGAAAAATTGTTTAAGAAATGGGGTCCAGATAAATTCTGCAAAATCAGGCGAATTTCCTAGGTCTTAAAAAGTAGTAAATTGCAAAAGTTCCACAAGTTAACTTGATTTTTCAGACGTCCATCCAGTACCGTAACTCGACGTTCGTCTACGAAGAGTTGCACGTCTCGCCGAATGAGCCGATTTTGCAGGATATGGAATTTTTCGGAGACCGGGAAATACGTCTACGTCTTGACGCCGAGAAAGGTTTGTCCATCAAGATTTTTGGCAACAAAATTGTTTTAAAGGTTAATTTTATTATTTTTAAAGGTTCAAGTTTTGTCGATATTTGATTTTTTTTACATTTTACTTGTCGAAAATTCAATTTATAAGAAATTATGGGTTTTCGGCTTTTTCGAAAAATCGATCTCTATCGGATTCGACAAAAATTAAATGCCCCCAAGTTAAAATTTCGATAAGTGAAATATCAATAAAATTTTAGAAACTCCGAAAAATTGCATTTCGGCATTCTGATTTTCGACACTGATAGAAAATCTTTCTCATTCTCTCCTCTCTCTCTGTCTCTCGCTCGCTCGCTCTCTCTCTCTCTCTCTCTCTCTTTCTCTTGCTTGCTCTCTATGTCTGTTTCTCTCCCCGAATTCCAAAATCCTGACCTGGGCCTCCCCAAAAACCGAATCCAGTTTTTGGCACCCTGCCCAAAACCGATCAAATCCCCTGACCACCCTGCCCGTTCTAAAGGAATTATCCTCTCCGCTAGTCCGCCTCGCTCCTCTGTCCGTACAGAGTAGCCAGACGGATTCGTGTTGGATCCCGGGGACCATTGGGGCATTCTCGGTCCGACGGAAGTCGTTTTGCATCGAATGGCTCCCTCTTCTTGGGGGCTAAACACGGAGATTCCTTGGGGGTCTCGGCACGCCATCCGGGCGAGGCGACTAGTTGCCATTTTGGGAGGACAGAAAGTTAGGGAATTGGAGGGGTTGAGACAGTTTTAAAGGGGCTGGGAAGCGAAGAGATTCGGTAAACTTTCTAGGAGTTTTTAGAAGATGGACTTAGGGTTTCTAAAAGCCATAAAATGGCTGGCTGCAGCCCCAAAAAAACTTAAAATTGCCTTTTAAAGGGACTAGGAAGTGAAAGAATTCTATGGATTTTGAGCAAAATTACAAATACATGGCGGAAGGCCTAAAAAAGCACTGATTTCGGTATGTAAAATTTAATTTATAGGCTCATGATAATCGAAAAAAAAATTGTTTTCTGAGGCTATTGAAACGAACTAGGAAGTAAAAAATTGCTCTGGATTTCCGGAAAAAGTAATGAACAAAAATAAACATTTTGCAAAAAAGTCGTGATTTTGCTAAAATTGCCTTTTCAGACATTTTAAGGGCGCCGTGAAGTCTGGTTCTTCTGAAAATCATGCACCAAGTAGCTCTAATAAACGCTACGAAGACTTAAAATTAGTCAGCCCAATTTCAAGCCCTTACGCCACCTCTTGGATCTGCCGTCCGAGGCATAATTAGGCACCCCTGGCCCCTAGGACATCATCATCTTCGATGATACGGCGATCTTTTGTGCATGTTCTTCATGTTCGTGCAGACTCATTGCTCTCTCCCTCGCTCTCTCGCACTTTCTTTCTCTCGCTCTCTCTCTCTCTCTCGCTCTCTCTCTCTATATCTCTCGCTCTTTCGCCTAGCAACAACAAAGAAGGGATAGATGTCGAGGAAGACGGATAATTGGGCCGACAGGCGAAGGGGACTTCGACCCGCCTGAAGGGGGTCCAAAAAATTGCAGAGCAATAAATTAAAAGTATCCCAACGTACAGAGTACCGTATCGTACTATACCGCAACTTTAAAGGGAAAAATTTCAGTTTTATGTTTTTGAGCATAAAAACTTTTTTTCTAGGTGACCCGAATCCCCACCTCCGAGTGTGGCTCCTTGGCTACGAGCTGCAGCGCTTGCGTAGGGAGGAAAGATCCGTACTGTGGATGGTGTGACGTCCTCAATCAATGCACCGACGCTTCTGAATGCCACCGGGATATCCCAAAGATGAAGGGATGGCTCGACTACCAGAACGATTTGTGTCCCACGTAAGTACTCCGTTTTAACGGGACGCACAAGGCAAAATTTACTGCCAAATAGGTCTAAAAATGCTAATTTTTCATTTTAAAGAAACGTTGAGGGCAATTGTCTTGCATTAGTAGCGAATAGAGGCATTAATTTGGTTTATAATCCACGTTGAGTTACTGTAATTCATCTTCTTTTCAGCATCGACCGCGTCGTCCCCTCCCAAATCCAAGTGACCACCTCCGACTACGTGAACGTCACCATCCAAAATGTTGGCGAGGCCAAGGGCAAGCTGCGATGCCAGTTTCGGTGGGTTTAAAGGGGCAGTGACAGCTGGAATTTCATACCGTATCTTTCGGGAGAACATTTTTAATTCTTTTACTTTAGATTTACATCTCCATACGACCAGGTTGTCGACGTCGAGCCGCCAAAACATCACGGAGGCTCGGATGGGTACGTATAAACCAAAATTTTGTGTTTTTCCGGATTTTTCCACTTTTACGAGTTTTTTTAAACGATACCTACCGTAATTTAAAGTATTTTTCCGCTTAAAAAAGATTTTTTTGAGCGCAACGAACGATTTTTGTTGATTTTCCTAATTGTTCCGTTACAGTACGATCCGGTGCGCGACACCATCTCTCAGCCGCATTCCGCCTATTCCGGCCAATCAATCTTACCTCGTCGCTGCTCTGGCAATTACGCCAGAAGGACGTACGGCTCCTATTGCCACCACCAACTTTACCTTCTACGATTGTGGGAAGTATAAGAGCTGCTCGGAGTGTACTAGGAGTGAGTTTTTATTTGAATTTGTTATTCTCTCACTCTCTCGCTCTCTCTCTCGCTCTCCTTTTCACTGTCTCTCTCACTGTCTCTCTCGCTCTCTCTTCCTCTCCTCCCTCTCGCTCACTCTCTCGCTCTCACGCTAACTCTCTATCTCTCTCTCGCGCTCTCAAAGTGTAGCATACGCGTTGCGTTTTAGCAAAATTTATTGCGACGCATCCTACTGTAGCCAATCTTCTCCGAAAAGCAGAAATACCTAGCCGACACTGTCCCTTTGGGAGTACGTAACGTTCCGCTATGCCTACGTACACCGTAGACGTAGCGTACCGTATTCCTATTAGCCGAACCACCCCTAATCATCCATTTTCAGGCCAATTCCCATGCGACTGGTGCCTCGAGTCGAACGAGTGTGTCGACGGGAAGTTGACGGAGGACAGATGCCGTCAACAGAACTTCATCAATGGCATCGCGGTGGGTTTTCATTAAAACTTTTAGGACTGAAATTAATCCTTTAACGTCCCCTTTTTGGAATTTTTGAGTGTTAGAAAACGTTTAAAATTCAGAAAAAAGTTTTAAATCTAAAAAAAGAACTTTAAACTTAGTTTAACACGATTTAGATAATAGGTCAGCAACGTACTATATAATTTAATGGCGTAATCGAATGTTTCCTTTTCAGCGAAAAGGCCAATCCTCCCGCCAGGGCCCCAACCACTGCCCCTACATCAAGGCCCCGCACGGCAAGATGTTTGTCGGAGTTGGGGAGAAGCGGAACGTCTCCGTGAAGGTGGCCAACCTCGACCCGTCCGTCATGCACAAATTCCGGTGCTCATTCCGCATCGGGCAGCAGCTCCACGAGAAACAGGCCGCACTTGTTGATGATGACACCATTGTGTACGTCTTTATTGATGGGATTTTGGGTTTAAAGGGCCTTGGAAGGCAAGAGAATGGATTTTTGGGCTATGAAATCCTCTGGAATGCGTCAAAAATTTACCTTAACGTTTCTATTTCAGCTGCGATGAGATGCGCTTCAACCAGCCCGAGCTGAAGATGATCAGCGGCACCGCCCCGGTGGACTTTCAAGTGAATTGGTCATCTCCAACTTCGGACGTGACGCACGCGTTCGATAACGTCAACGGGACGGCTGTTGAGGTGAGAGAGATCCGCTAAAAACACTAATTTTTCAGGTATATCGCTGCGAGGAGCTGGCTTCAAACTGCGGGCTCTGCTTGTCCCTCGACCCCACCAAGTTCGACTGCGGCTGGTGCGAGAAGGATGCAAAGTCAGTGAAAGCACGAAGGATAAAGATAAGAGAGAGAGAGAGAGAGAGAGAGAGAGAGAGAGGAGAGAGAAAGAGAGAGAAAGAGAGAGAGAGGGGAGAGAGAGAGGGAGACAGGGAGAGAGACAGAGAAAGATCGAGAGAGAGCAAGAGCGCAAGAAAGTGAGAGAGAGCAAGAGAGAGCAGAGTAGCCAGGAAACACCTCTAAATCGTACCATTTTCAGATGCGTACGACCCCGTGCCTGCCGTTGGCGAAGCCCGAGTGATTGGCTGAACTCGACGCAGCTTTGCCCTCACCCCGTGATCATCTCCTTCGACCCGAAGAAAGGCCCGGCTCACGGCAACACGAAGATCCGCGTCACCGGCGTGAATCTCGGACGTTCAGCTGCTGATCTTCGTGGAGCTGTCCTAGTTGCGAACGTCCCCTGCACCGTCCAAACAGCAGACTTCATCTCGCCATCCGAGTTCTATTGCACGACGAAAAATGCCCCAGGCGTCGGCTATAAGGGCCCGATGATCCTGAAACTTCAAGATTCCCCCATCTACTCTGTGGTCACCACCGAGCAGTTCAGCTACGTCGAGCCGAAGATCCTGGGCGTGGACCCGGTGGAAGGGCCGACATCAGGTAGCGATTTTCGGCGACTGACGGTTCTTGATTGTTAGCGGGGTGGGAGACAAAAGCTCTCTCTGTAGTCTCTTCATACCTAGAAAATTTTTAGTGTTTTACAGGTTTTTTTGCTAAGGAAATCATAAAAGGTGTATAACGTCTAAACATTTCACATCTTTAGCTTTTTGCCCTGGTAATTTTAACCTGCCGTTAACGTGAAGAAACGTAAGACCACATAAAAAATCTAGTAAAAAAGCAAAAATTTCGATTTTTTTTCAACTTGAAAAACCTCGAAAATTCTAAATTGTTTAAAAATTCTCATAATTTTTGAAAAAGCGTTTACATTGAGCGCAAAAACCATTTTGATTCTAAACAAAAAAATTCGTTTATCGGCCAAAATTTCGAGATTTTTGCAAAAATGTGTAAAGTCACAATAGTTTTCCACTTTAATTTTAGTTTAATTTTACTAAAATAACTAGCAAAATATTTATTAATGCATTACGGGTATTTTACGCTTAAACAAAAAAAATACTTTCCTAAGACCCGCCCACCCCCGACAATGCAAAGCGCCGGGCGAAAATTAGGATTACCCCTTGGCAAAAAACATAGGTACTGGACTTCTCCTCGTAGATCTTAGTAAAAACTTTTTAATTTCAGGCGGCACCGACCTCGTGCTCAACGGCGAGAACCTGGACCTCTGGCTCCGAGATGAAGATCAAAATCGGAGGGTCCGCGTGTAAAGTGTTGGAGGCGGAATGAGAGTCGAGTGTTGTGCAGGACCGGAGCAGCCCCTATGGAGTCAGGGATGGCCGAGAGACTATCGGGAGATATGCCAATTACCATGGATGTCGATGACGAAGGGGCACACGTCCGCCAGGGGCTCAACTTCGCCTACCGGAACAACCCGAAAATCTTTGAAGTACGGCCGGAACACTCGATAATGGCTGGAGGAGGGATTGTGGTAGATATTGGCTGGGGATGGATTCAAGCTGTTGCAACGGCCATATGCTGTTTATGCTGACCAGGAAAGCACAACCGAGGGTGAGTAGTTTGAGGAGGCGCGGTTAATGTTGAGCGCGTAATTTTGATGACGTTGGCTTCTATGCATTCCTTTGAAATTTTCACATTGAAGGGGGCGATAGAGACAGATAGAGCCGAGATGAAGAGGACCATGACAGAGAGAGGTACCTGGGGAAGGCGAAAGAGAGAGAGTGAGCGAGGGAGGCAGAGCGAGAGAGGAGAGAGGTAAAATAAGTACGATAGAGAGAGAGCGAGAGAGAGAGAGTAGAGAGAGAGATAGAGAGAGAGAGACCGAGAGGGAAACCTTGCTGGCTGAGAGAAGACAACAATCAAAAGAGACAGAACAGCTAGAACGAAAAACTTGGTGAGGTTTCCATACCACGCAGCGCAGCGCCCCCAGCTATTAGTAAACATCTGATTTTGGATCCTTTTTAAAAGGTAGTTATCACCTTGACTCCTCTGCACTCTCCCTCTCTCTCTCTCCCACTCTTTCTCTCTACCTCTCTCGCTCTCCAATCTCTGTCTCTCTCTCTCTCTCTCTCTCTCTCTCTCTCTCTCTCTCTCTCTCTCTCTCTCTCTCTGATCTCTCTGATTCTGTTAGTACGTTGTTAATAGCCATATACCCATTTTTGAGGCCGATTTTTGCTATTTATATCTAATCCTCTCTTCCAGGCGGGCCCTCCATGCAACATCAGCGACGACAAGCTGATGCTCTGCAAAATCCCCTCCTACCCGAGCAGTGATCGAAAACCCACCGTCTCCCACCCCCTGCTCGCCTCCTACGCCTTCGACTTCGATGGTACCGTCACCGAAAAACGGCAAATCCGCGTCTACCCCAACCCGAACGTGTCCACCTTCAAGCAGCTGCGCTTCTACCGCCCCGGCGGCAGCTCACCATCAACGCCATCGACGTCAAGGACGTCGCATACGAGCGTGACGTGCGGATCACCGTGGGCGGCGAGGACTGCGCATTGATAGCCATCGGAAAGGATGCCCTGACCTGTAGACCAGCAAAGGACAAGCCAGACCTGGGCGGGGGTGTACAGCCCGAAGTCGTCGTACGCGTTGGAGATGAGGCTTATTCAGTTGGAGAACTGTCGTACGATTCTCAGACCCTGCCGGCGGCGGGGATAGCGATTATTGGGCTAATCACGGCGATCTTGGCCATAATGCTGATCGTTGTCGGGTTTATGTACAAGAAGAAGACGAATTCCCATCAGAGGCAAATGAAATACCTGAAACACCAGATGGACAACATCGAGATGAAGGTGGCCACCGAGTGCAAGGAGGCATTTGCCGAGCTGCAGACGTCGTTGAACGCGTACTCGGCCGAGTTGCCGCTGGGCTCGTCGATGGTGCCTTTCTTGGAGTACAAGGAATACGCGGCCAGAGTGTTGTTCCCAAATCTGCACAAGCACCCCGTACTCCGCGAACTTGAGGTGGACAGCACGAGGGCGGCTGCGGTGGAAGAATTCGCTGAGGAGTTCCACAAGCTCATCCTCAACAAGGTCAGTGTTTTTGTTTTATTCCTAGGGATCTAATTTTTCGAATATAAATAGAAAACATGTTTCTAATTTTTTACTAATTCTAAGCGTATAAATTTACAAAAAATACTAAATACAACTTAAAAATACATTTTCGTCCAAAAGATCCTTTTCGACAAAAAATTCGACTCTGTAAGCCGTTTTGAAGTTTTGAAAACTAGCATTCGATATTCTGAAATTTCGACGTTATGAAATGCTAGATCAGAATGGAATTTTCGCAAAATTTTAAATTTGGAAACTATGAAATTTCGGCATAAGCGAATATCGACATTATCGATTTCGACATTATGAGCTTTTCGGCATGCGGAAATTTCAAAAATTCAAAAATTTGGAAACTCTGAAATTTCGACGTTGTAAATTCTGAAAGTTATGAATTTTTTAATTCTCCATTTTCGGCATTATGAATTTCGGCATGCCTAAATAGCGTCATTCTGAAATTGATATTCTAACTCTGATTTAAGGATTAGATTCTAAAATTCCGGCATTCGAAATTCCGATGTCCCATCTAATAAAAACCTCAAAACCCACCATAACCGCCTCTTTTTCAGACGTTCCTCACCACCTGGGTGCGCGTCATGGAGTCCAACAAAGTACTTCCTGGGCAAAGATCGTGTCTACGTCGGCTCCCTGCTGATGGTCGTGCTCCAAGAGAAGATGCCCTACTGTACCGAGATCCTCAAACACCTTCTCAAAGAACTCATCGAGCGGACCGTCGAGAAGAAGTTCCAGCCAAGATCCTCTTCCGACGATCGGAAAGTGTCGCAGAACGGATGCTGGCCGCCTGGTTTACCTTCCTCATGCACAAACATCTACTGGCATATCAAGGATCGGCTGGGAGAAAGCTCTACGAATTATACTGGGGTATTAAACAACAAATGGAAAAAGGACCCCAGGATGCTGTGACGCTTGAAGCTAGATATTCTCTGTCAGAAGAGAAACTACTCCGCGCCACGTTTGAGTATAAGGAGCTGACGATATTCATCGCTGGGAGGTCAATATCAATGGATTCGCGCAACCGGATGTGCCTGTCAGGGTGCTGGATTGTGATA